TTTCAGTATTGTCTCTTTGTTTTGTACATTTAGTGTTTTTAGTATAATGTACCATGGATAGTTTCTTTTCTGGTCCTGTCTGTTTGGTGTTCTATATCTTCTTGTATTTGTATGGGCAAGTCTTTTTTTAATTTTGGGAAATTTTCTTCCATGATTCTGTTGACAAGCTGGTCTGTGCCATTATCTTGGGATTCTTTGCCTTCCTGTATGCCTGTGATTCATAAGTTTGGTCTTTTTATGGTGTCACACAATTCCTGCACATTCCATTCTTGTGATTTCTTAAATTTTTCATAATTTTTGCTTGAGTGGTCTAGTTCGTCCACTTTATCTTCCAGTCTTGATACTCTGTTTTCCATTTCATTCACCCTATTGGTGAGGCTTTCTCCTGTCATTTCTAATTGGCTTATGGAGTGTTTCACTTCCTTCTTCATTTCAGCCCAAGTATTCTTCAATATTTCTAACTCTTTTCTGAATTCATTCAGAAGTTTATCCCTATCTTCCTTCAGTTCTTTGATTTCTTTGTGTGTGTGTGTTCTTTAAATTCACTGAATTCTTTTACCATGCTTATAATTGTTCTTTTGAGTTCCATGTCCTGCATTATCTAAGGGGTTCTCATTGTACTCCTCTGGAGGTCTATTAGTATTTAGTGGGGATATGTTGTTTTGGTTTTTCATGTTATTATGTTTTCTCTGTGATTTTGACATGTGAATTTGTTTTGTAGTTTCTGATTCTTGTGTGAGACTCTAGCCTTCAAGTTTAGGTCTGCTTCTTTTTGTGAACTTTATGTGTCTTTGTGGTTTACTTTTTGGGTATGAAAAGCTGGTTCCTCTAAGCTTCTGTTTCTCTCTTTTGATTTTATATTGGAGTGGCCAGATTGCTTTTGTCTTCAGGAGTTCCCACAGAGACCCAAATCAGATAAGGATCAGATGTTTTCAGCCTTTCTCCTAAGTTCTGAATCCCTCCAGGAACGATTTTCGCCTCAGGAATTTGGGGGTTGGAGTGGCCTGGGAGCTGGGCCCAGTAAAGATGGTGGTTTACGCAGCTAGTGGTCGTGCCACCCAGAGATGCAAAGGAAGATGGGGGCGGGGATACGGCCCCAAGGTCTTCTGGGGACTGCACTGAGGGGCTGGATAGCTCTGGATACAAAGGATCCAGAAGAGGAAGGGTCAGCCCCAGCCTCCAGGAAAGAGGCTAGCAGGTCCTGCAGGCCTGGCAAGTAGAGGGAGGTGAGGGTGGGGCTAGTCCCAGAGTGCTCCTGGGGACCCAAGAAGGAACTGAGTTGGTTTGGATGAAAAGGATCAGGAAGCAGTGGTGGTTCCCCAGGTGTCTGGGGTGCCAAGAGAAGGAATGGGACAGGACTCCGGCTAGGAGGAGAGACAGGTGGGGGAGATGGGAGGGTGAATGAGGCTGGGGGAGTTAACATATGGAGGGCACGATGGACTTACCCGTGAGAGAGGCCTGTGGGTCATGCAGGCCCAGGGAAGCAGAGAGCATGTCAATGAAAATTTTAACATAAAAATAATGGTGAGCAGTGAATACACGTTGTGCTAATGAAGAATGTGTACAGGGCCAAGCTAGGGAAGCTGATGGTATGTGCTGTGCTCTGGAAGCAGTTCCACTGGAAGAAGTCTTTTCCAGGACCCACATATGCAGTCCTATACACTAAGCATCATTTAACACTTTTTATTGATTTTTATTATTTTTGGCCCATCTAGCATTTTTACTATTCCTGATAGTTGAAAAATTCTTTTTTTTAAGCACAGAAATTTAGAACTGTACAAAAATTACCCAGTACAATGAATTGTTTTCTTTTTTTGGTAAGGCCATAGTTTTTAATGTAATATTTTTATTTATTCTTTGAGAATTTCATACATGTACATAATGTCTTTGATCATATTTATCCTCACCCTACAGATACCCTGTCTCCCTCCTAACTTCATTTTCTAATTTTCTTCCTTTCTTCCTTTCTTTCTTTCTTTCTTTCTTTCTTTCTTTCTTTCTTTCTTTCTTTCTTTCCTTCCTTCCTTCCTTCCTTCCTTCTTTCTTTCTTTCTTTCTCTTTCCCCTCTGTCCCTCCCTTCCTTGCTTCTTCCTTCTTTCTTTTTTTCCAAACTAAACCCTGAGTCCCATTAGTACTAGCCATGTGTTATGGGTATGGGGCCATCTATTGGAGCATGGTCAAGTTACTCAGGGTCACGCCCTTAAGAAAACGGCCTCTTCCTTCTCCATCAATGGGGAAGCCATCAATGCTCAACAGTTCCTCTTATAAGGGATGCTGGCTCCTGTGTCTCTATGCTAGAATGTTGACTTGCTTGATCATGCTTGATCTTGTGCAGGCAACCACAGGTGCTGCGAGTTCCTGAGTGAAACGATTCTGTCATATCCAGAAGACACTGCCTTGCCCCAGGCCTCCATGATCCCTGGCTCTTAATAATCAATGAATTCATTTCTTAGTGAACAGTTTAATCTAAAAGATTTTACTTTACTTTTTTCTTTTTACTTTACTTTTTTTTTTTTGGTGCTTGGGGGTTACACCCAGAGTCTTATGCATCCTAATTACATGCTCTAGCATTAAACTACACCACCATCCTTTTTTTTTTTTTGGAGTGGGAAGAAGAGAAAGTTTCTTCCCTGACATGTGTAGGGCTCAGCTGGGTTTCTGAGTTAGAAATCAGTATAACCACATGCCCTAAGCATGCAATGAGCACCATAGACATGATCCTGTGTGGACTGCCTGGTAAGCCAGCATGCATATTTAGGGAGAGACTGCTCCACAGAGGAGAAAGGAACTGAGGAGGGCAGTGGCCCACATGAGTTTGGTGCTGATGCTTGGGGCACCAATGGGATGATGACCAGACCCTTGGATCTTCTGAAAGCTGCTTCTTGCTTTGACATTTGCTCATCCATTTAATAATTTACCAGGCCCTGATTTCGTTAACCTTTTCCAGGGTGAATAGCTCCTTAAAGTCTCTTACATAGTTCCCTGATTTTATCAATGGTTAAACACCTCCAGAGGGAGGGAGGGAGGGAGAGAGAGAGAGAGAGAGAGAGAGAGAGAGAGAGAGAGAGAGATATGCCTGGAGTAGAAAAATGCTGGGTCTGAGTTCTGGCTCTGCATCTCCTTTATGGCTGAAACTCTTTCTTTAAAGAGAGAGAGATGGTAGTTTAAAACAGAGAAATGGTAGTTTCTACATTATGGGGTTGTTCTGAAAAGGACATGAAACAGTATCTGTAAAATATTGAATCAGGCACACAGTAGATGCCTGTTAAGAGATGGGCAAAATATTGTGCCAGGCACACTGTAGATGCCTAATAAAAGATGGGCAGTTCTGCTGCTCTTCAATTCAGCTGACCAGTGACTAGCACTCAGGCATCTTTATGGAAAGTCTTATTTTTTCCACAAAGTTAACCAAAAGGTTAAATTAGAAGAAAGCAGCATGACTTGGATGGGATTGGAGACTACTCCCAGCATTTTCTGTCTGTTCTTTACACAGTGACTTTATTTCCTGTATTAGGCCATTTTCTGTCACGTTAATAAAATACACAAAATTAGGCAACTTATGAAGAGCAGATGTTTAATTGGCCCACAGTTCTGGAGGCTGAGACTCTACGAACATGGCACCACATTTGATGAGGACCTTCTTGCCGCAGCCTCACACCATGGAGGGCATCGTGTGATGAGACAGGAAACACAGGATCTTCTTTTTCTGACTGAAGCCACTCCTGCCATCATGTGAACCACCATTATCCAATCCTAATTACCTTCCAAAGGCCCCATCTCCTAGTGCCATCAATATATAAATTTGGTCATTAGGTTTCTAACACACGAAGTTCTGGGGGACACATCCAAACCATAGCACCTCTTTATTCTATGTACCTATTTGCAAACCTATCACTACATGTTCAACTCATGAAGTGTTAATGCAATGCATAAGCAACTAAAAATAGAAGGTATATTAAGGCTGGGACTGTCTTGCCTTGCCCTGTATAGAGAAAGGAGAGGAATGATGAGGTGGAGGCTGTAGCTCCGAGTCTCCGCTCTTGCAGCTTCAGGCTTGTTCTCCAGGTTGGAATACTGAGGATGAAGTCTGTCCTTCCTGACTGCTTCCTAGAGTCACCTAAGCATCAGATAAAGAAGAAGGGCTAACACATGTCATCAACTGAAACTGAAAAGCAGATGATAAGGAAAGGAATTATTGTAATTTAGTAGCCATTTGTTAGAACTTAGGTATTTGTACTTACAACCAATATATTACTTCTTAAAAATCTAAACACCGAGTATCTCAAAAGCAGGTACAAAATTACTTGAAAACTAACACTGAAATCTAGTAGTACAAACGGAAGTGCAGCTATATCCAGGTTTGGCCTATTTTGAATAATGCTGTTTAGAACATTCATGCTTTATGGGGATACATGTTTTCATTTATACGCAGCAGATTCCTAGTGGAATTGTTACATTATAGGGTCAACTTATGTTTAGCTGTTTAAGGAACTGCTGCCAAACTGTTTTCCACAGTTGCCTTACCATTTGCATTTCCATCAGTAATGTCTGAGGGTTCAAATTTTCTAGTATATTTGCTATTAGAAGTTCCACGTCCAGTTTAATTATAATTAATAGATAAGATCCTTTTGCAATTCAGTGACAGTTCTGAAGTCTCAATTAAATGAAGCATCTGGCAGTGTACCTTTGGTTTAACAATAGTCTCAGTAATTGGGAAGAATCGATTTATGTTGCTGAACTAAAAGTTCAGTTGCCTAGGGAGTATATGGTAATTACTTAATGACAATTTACTCCAGAGTTCAGCTTTCCACTGTTTTATCAGGGCCACGTGATAGGAAATGAAAGCAGCTTTCATAAAAAGCAGACTTGTTTATCATTTGATTTGTTTATTGTTTGAATGGTGTGGTATACAATGGTGAATGGAACACTCATACCAATGTAGACTTCTGTGTGTTAATGCCTTGTGGACTGCAATGAATTCATTTCCTGTTTCTTTCCAGATTGTTCACAGAACTCTGGCAGCCATGCTGGGGGCTCTTGCAGCGTTAGCAGCACTGGCTGTGGTTGGTGATGTAAGTTGTAATGTTTACTTCACTGGCTTATACTTGATACTATGTCAGACCCAGGGACATTTGAGGATTTAGGCTTGGTTCGTTGCTTTTAATTCTTTTATATGCTGCTTCCATGGTTTTGCCCAAGAACTATGCTAGAGTCAAGAACTACCAAACTAGTTTTAAGGACAGTTGTCACTTGATGTCATCACACTGATCCATGTAGCTTAGTCTCCATCTGGGTTGAAGAAAGGCTCCTCAGTCTTACATTTGCCCAGTGTGTGGCCAAGTGGTGTTAGAGATGAATCTAGTCCTGTCAGCTTTTGGGTTTCCAACCAGCAGATGTGGAGGTGGAGCTCGTGGGGCTGAGGCTCTGTCCTGCAACATCACAGGCCCTGAAGATGCCTGTATGTAAGTAACGGGGTCCACTAGGCAGGGGCGTGGGAACTGCATGAGGAGAATGGGGAGCCTGAGAACTCTTAGGAAACACTCTTAGGACCTCTTAGGAGGCAGAATTGTTGGAGGGGCAATGCTGACTCTGCACTCAGGGCCCTCACAGAGGCGACCACACCGCAGAACTGAATCTGAAAGCAGCTATAGACTGATGGATTTTTCCTGAAAACTACTGACAGGACAGTCAACCAACCCCAAATAATGATTTGTTCAAATAACTATATAGGGAAGTATATTGAATCAGTTATTTTGAGTTAGTTATTTGTGTTGTGTTTTCTTTTGATTTAAAATTTGTATGTCTAACCAGCCTGAAAGCAGTTGTAAGAACTTGATCCCTTTCTTGGCTAGATTTGGTATAAACAAATGCTAAACTGAAAGCTTAAATAGACCAGAATTCTAAAATTTAGAGGTAAGAAAACTGGTTTTTTTTTTTTTTTTTTTGTCGTGTAGAACTTGGAGTGGAATCCAAGGCCTCGTGCATGTTAGGCAAACATTCTGCCACTGAACTATATCCTAGCCCCAAACTGTTTTTTAATTTTTTAATTTTATGTGTATGAGTGTTTTGCCTGCATGTATGTATGTACAGAGGTCAGAAGAAGGTGTTGGATCCTCTGGAGCTGGAGTTACAAATGGTTGTGAGCCACAATGTGGGTGCTGGAAATTGAACCCAGTTCCTTTAGAAGAGCAGCCAGTGCTTTTAACTGCTGAGTCATCTCTCTAGGCCCATCAAACTGTTGTTTTCAATACTAGTTGGGCATTGCAAGAAGAAAAGAAAGATGAGACAGCAGGTCCATGGCCTAAACCTGAGAAGGGCTCTCATCAGAGAAGTGGGGGGAGAGAGCAAACGTCTCTCACAGGCTAGGTTTTGTTTTTTTAAATCATGCTGAGAAGGGACTGAGATCTGGTTTAGTCACAAGGAAGTTAATAATTAAACCAGGCTGTGCAGGAAGGTGTTAGTGGTGCTGACTTCAGGAAAATGACACTGGGAAAATGAAGCTGCTAGCCACAGGCTAGAGAGGGCTGTTCAAGCTAGAATCTAGGTCCTAGGAAGTGGAGGTGCTAATTGGGCTGGGATGGGGATGCTGCCAAGTCTTCGGGTGGTGCTCTTCTTCTCACAAGTATGGTGGTAGCAATGTATCTTGTTTGGAAAATTGCTCTTATGGTACATGGGTACACATGGTACACATAGGCACATAGGTACACATGGCCCACACATGCAGTAGGAAATCCCTTGGTCCACTCAGTGAACTGCCCTTTCCCAATAGGCTGGGCTCTAGCCGTCCCTCAATTCATACCGTGCTGGTGGCATATGGCGAACCAGATAAAGATCTGTCTCTCATGCATTCTGGTGAGGAAGACATGAGCAGACTGAACCTGCAATCCAGGCAGTAGTTCTCCTAGAGTTTCTGGGGGCAGGGTTAAATATTTTCCCCATTTTCAAGCCTAGTTTTGATGTTACAGATGCACTGAATGTTATTCAGCAATGTTATAATCCAATTTCAAAGGCAAGTAAGTGGATGGTGCATTTCCCACTTTGGCCCAATGTATGGGTTTGCAGTAAGGGAAGCACATTTTTAGAGCTTTCTCCAGGAGGTTGATGCACAGGATTAATTGACAAATTTGTGCTTTCATTGCAGAGACCCAGCCTGACCCACGTGGTGGAGTGGATTGATTTTGAGACTCTGGCCCTGCTGTTTGGCATGGTAATTACAGTCTTCTCAGCAGGACATGGCTCTGAGCCTGGGTCCTTCACTTTGCCACTGTGGCTGCTGATCCTGTCATTATACTAAAGATGTCATATCTCTTGACAGTTAGGTCTTGATTGAGAGGTGTTAGTGAAGATCCAGCTAATTTCTCTTGAGGAGGGCAGAATGACTGGTAGTCTGGTTAGTTAACTGAAGAATTCCACTCTAGGCTTGTTGAGCAATGAAATAATATCATTCATTTACACAAGTTGGAAATTCTTTCATTTATTACCCTTGAGATAAAGAATGGTATATTCTAAATAAATGAACCATGCAACAGTTTCAGTGATTGGAAAAGTAATATTGATCATATAAAGAAAAAAATGTCCCTAAGTGATAGTTCTAGTGTTTACCAATTTATTATATTGTCAAGTGGCCTCTCTATGCTGTGAGGAATACTAGGTCAATGTAGGAAAGAAACTTCAATATGCAAGTGGATTAGTGTGAAATAGGACTCGCCAGTCAGTTTAGCTAGAAAAAGTAGAATTTGGCAAGGCCTTGGGAAAAGCAGGGATGATTCCTGCTTGAGCCAGTCCCCGAAGAGTCAAGTGGTCTTCGAGGTTTCATCTGCCCTGTACTGGGAGGAGGATCACTTTGTGGAAAACGGGTCACTATGTTTCCTTCCTTCCTTCCTTCCTTCCTTCCTTCCTTCCTTCCTTCCTTCCTTCCCTCCTTCCTTCCTTTTTCCATTCCTTCCTCCCTCTTCTTCCTTCTTTCATTCCTTCTTTCCCTCTTTCCTTCCTTCCCTTCATCTCTCCTTTCTTCCACTCCTCCTTCCCTCCCTCTCACCTTTCCTTCTTTTCTTCCTTCCAAAAATTTCATTTGTTTATTTTGTTTTGTGTGTACCTGTGTATGCCTGATTGTATGTATGCATACCACATGTGTACAACTGCCCCCAGAGGCCAGAAGAGGGTGTCAGGTCCCCTGGACCTGATGTCACAGATGGTTGATAACTGCTGTGTGGGTGCTGGGAATCAAACCCAGGTTCTCTGCAAGAGCAGTGAGTGCTCTTAACCACTGAGTTAGCCCTCTAGTCCTGTATCCTCATTTCTTTGCATCTGTCCTTGCAAAGCTGGCAGATGTAACTAATTCAGCCTTCAAAGTGACCCAAAGTAGTGCTGCCAGTCTCTCCATGCAGGAAGGTGGAACTGATCTCTGAACTCAGGCTTCATGGAGGAGCCAACGCCTATGTTGGGTGCTGAAAGATGCATAGGGTTTGGACATCTGGATGGAGGAAGGAGGTATACCAGATGACTTCAGTATATTACTTTTAGTAAAGTCAAACAAATGGTGTGTTAGTTTGCTAGAACTGCCATAAAAGCATTATAGAGTTTGTGGCTTAAAGAATGAAAATTTATTTCTCATAGATAAAGAGGCTGAAGTCTGGGCCAAGGTATAGGCAGGGCTGACCTCCTCTGAGGCTCCTCTCCTTGGCTGTGGATGCCTGTCTTCTATCTGTGTCCTGACAGGTTCTTCCCTCTATGCACTTGTATCCTAATCCCCACCTTATAGGGACAGCTCTCATTCAATTAGAGTTCACCCCAATGGCCTCATTTAACTAAATAATTCCCCTAAAAGCCCTGTCTCCAAGTGCAACCACATTCTGATGTACTGGAGGTTAGGGCTTCAACATAAGAGTTTTGAGGAGGATGGACATAATTCAGCCCATAAGAATGACCTAATATGTTTTCTTTTTATCAATTAAAATCAATCTAGCAAGTACTTACTGGTTCTATGATTTTGTATAGGGGTAGCATAGAAAATGTACATTACTAGATTCTACTTTACCTGACTTATTTCCTGGGGTAGCCTACCCTAGTTCTTGTTCTGCCAGAGAGGGAATGGTTCCCCATGACAGTAGAAGGCCAGGCTGCCACCCATATCTGTCTTCTTATGTTCCCATGAAGTGCCACATGTTAGAACAGCCCCACAAGGACCTCTTGGTTAGGAAAGTGCTCTAGACAAGGTTGGTACTGAGTCTAAAGTGATTTTGGGACATTGTTGTTTTATACAGTTTATTCAGTGGTCTTGCTCATGGTCACCACATTTGCAAGAAAAAAAATTTAGTTGAATTACAGTAAGAAGCAAATTTTGATCCAGTTTTAAAATAGTAAGATGTCTAAGTGCTGCTGTGGAGAAATCAGGTAAAGAGGGCAGCTGCTGGCCTACCTCCTTCCCTGCTTCTAGCTCTGAGTCTGAGCAAGCCATCTGTCTCTCTGGTCTATAGAACAGAGTGATAATAGCATTTGATGTTTGTTGGGAGGATTAGATGGGATGATAACATGCCTTAGGGAAAAATCCCTGGACAAAAATATACATGCAAAGCCACTGATAAGAGGATCCACTCAAGGAGGCAGTAGGTGGATGGGAGACATGGTGAATACTTAGCAAGACAGCAAGTAGCTTGGTGATACGCAGCTTTGGGAGCAGACCTCAAATGCATATTTGGTCACGTGACATTGTTCCATTGTGGTATTTTGCTAAAAGAATCTCCCTGTCTATTTTTCCTCTTTCCCTTTAGATGATCTTAGTAGCCATATTTTCAGAAACTGGATTTTTTGATTATTGTGCTGTAAAGGTAGGTATGATGGTATGATGTTGGGTTTAATATTTGTATACTAACTAGTTGACATATTATTCTAGCATTATATATTTAGTAAATTAAAATATCATTTGAAATTTCATCATCCTTTCAGGAAAGCTGGGTATAGCTGCTGTGCTAAACAAGGTTCCCAGCAATACCTTCAGCTTTCCCATACACAAAGAGGGGCATCGAGGCAAAGAGTTCTCAGGTTGAATATTTGTATAATATTATTTAAATTGGCTGGTGAGAGCTACACATCAAAACTTGTTTTGCGTATTAGAGTCTCTGAATATTTCAAGCCATCAGCTTCTGATTGCTTTGCCTTTTGGTAAAATAATTTTAGCAATTACTTTCTAGATATTGTGCACATACACAGTCATGATTTTTAAATTAGGGAAAATCATGTTTGTTTCTTTAATCTTGTAAAGATTGTATTCATTTACTCATCTGGGGATTGAACACAGTCCTTGTATATGCTGAGTATGTGTTCTGTCACTGGGCTATATACTAGCCCCTTAAAAGTCTTTTAAAAATTATCACTACTATTATTTTTTAATTTAATTAATTAATTTTTATTTTACACGTATGAAAGTTTTTCCTGCATATATGTTAAGTGTACCATTTGCATGCAATGTCCGTGGAGGCCAGAAGAGGGCTCTGACTCCCCTGGACCTGGTGTCATGGCTGGTCATTAGCTGACATGTGCTGGAAACTGAACCCTGGTCCCCTGCAAGAGAAGCCAGTACACTTAACCACTGAGCCATCTCGCCAACCCCTATTACTACTATTATTTTAACTGACAAACCATGACTTTAACTGGCAAATAATTTGGGGGTAAAATATGTTTCACTGTACATATATACAATGGGTCATGGTTAAATCAAACCAACTAGTGTATTAGTTCACTTATCTTTTTATGGTGACACATTTAAAATTTCTTTTTAAGTTATTTTGAAATGATACTACTTTGAATATAGTCACTCTGCCTGTGCAATGGTCAATCCATACCTTCTGACTGCACTTTGTACTCTTTGACTAGTGTCTCTCTGTTCTCTCCCTCCCAACCTAGTAACCACATTCTATTCTCTTCTTTTATGAGATCAGCTTTCTTAGATTCCACATAGAAGTGAAACCCTGTGGTATTTGTATATGTGCCTGGCTTATTCTACTTAAAATCATGCCTTCCAACTGTAACCCTATTTTTGAAAATGTGAGGGTTTTATCCCTTACACATGTGAATAGTATTTCATGATGTTTACGTATGATGCTTATTATCTTCTTCCATTCATCTGTTGATAAACACTTAGGTTGATTCCATATATTGGAACAGCTCTCCAGTAAACAAATTGGAACCAGGTCATCTTCAGCAACGAGTTGGAGGCTGGATGCTCTACCTTCCAACTGCTGGGAGTGTTGCCTGAGCCACCACACTCAGTTTGCATGGTTCTGGGGATTGAACTAGGACTCATGCAAGCTACACACGGACTCTACCATGGGCATATATCCCCAGCCCTGTTATCTTTCATCTTTCCTGATAAAAATCATTCTAACAGGTGTAAAATGATACCTCACTGAGACTTTGCATTTTAACTGAAACCCTAGTGACTCTGTCAGCAGGCTCTGACCTCCAGAATTTGAACTGCCCCTTCTGTGCATGGTGGATAAGGAATCTTACCCTACAAATACAAAGGCTGGCGCTGAGCTTGATTTTGGCCTTGGAATTGAAAATTTCTTTTGAAAAATAATTTCTTCAACAAAGCTCTTTGGAAATTCTGAATGGGAATTTATTTTGGTCCCTATTCCCTGGAGTCATTAGTGTAAAACAGTCTGCTGTGTGAATGTGCTGATTCTGGCTTGTTCCTTCCCATGTGTTTTAGGCATACCGACTTTCTCGAGGAAGAGTATGGGCCATGATCATCATGCTTTGTCTCATTGCTGCTGTTCTTTCTGCCTTCTTAGACAATGTCACCACCATGCTCCTCTTCACGCCTGTCACCATAAGGTATGTAGAGCACTTCCAAAACGGATATAGGGCCTGCTTCAGGCAGGTGTGGTTTCCGGCTGCACCACCCAGCCAACTCTGGCTTGCGTGACTGCAGAGCACTAAACATGCAAACAATGCGATGAAGTCACTGGAGCTCAGAAACACTATGGGGAGTGGAAAGACGTGGGTCTTGCTTTTCAGGAGATAGCTGTCATGGGGACACATAGGCAAGACATTCACAGACCATCAGATAACAGGATTTTTGCCTATGGAATTCTACACTGTTGTCTTCCACCACTCTCAGGGCTTAGTCTTCCACAGAGCAGGCTTGTGAGACTTTCAAAGACTCCAAGACAAAGCTTATGCAGCCAGGCCAGAGATCCATAGCTAAGCAAGAAGTTCATACTTAGTAGTTAAAGGAAAGGGTGAGGGGAGAGCCTAAGGTCTTATCAGGAAAGGGGAAGACAGACAAAGGACTGCACCAGCAGGTTAAGTATTGGTTACTGTCCACCACTCTCCTCATGGCATCTGATGACTGGAACCTATTCACTTACCTGCTTCAAGCTTTTCCCTTCACTGGGGCCTGACACACAGGGAATGGTGTTCCCTTCAGACTGTTGGGGAAAAGAGAGAATATATCCTTAAACTGATGGCCCAGAGTGTGGGGGTTAACTGGGAAAAAATGTAGTTCTCTGGGGCTAGAGAGATGGGTCAGCAATTAAGAGCCCTAGCTGTTCTTGCAGAGGACCCTCGGTTGATTCCCAGCACCCACATGGCAGCTAACAATTGTAACTCCAGTTCCAGGGGATCTGACACCCTCTTCTGACCTCTGCGGGCATTGCATGAGATGGATGCACTTACACAGATGCAGGCAATATACTCATACACATAAAATAAAAATAACAAATAAAATATTAAAAAAAGAATTGCAGGGGCTAGAGAGATGGCTCAGTGGTTAAGAGCACTGACTATTCTTACAGAGGACCTGGGCTCTATTTCCAGCACCCACATGGCAGCTATGAACCATCCTTAACTCCAGTTCCAGGGGAATCCAACACCCTCTTCTGACCTCTGCAGCATTGCATGACACGGGTGCACTCACATGCAGGGGATACACTCACACACATAAAATAAAAATAAATAAAATTAAAAAAGACATGCAGTTCTCATAATCAGAGGTGCCTGAGGCTGTTGATACAGTTGGTTATCCCAGCATTACCTTTCTCACAGGTGTGTGTGTGTGTGTGTGTGCGTGTGTGTGTGTGTGTATGTGTGTGTGTATGTGTGCCTTCCTTGCACAAGCAAATGCTTTAAACATTTGGATTGTACATAGGCCTTTTCTGATGCCAATAGTGGGGCTATCACTTTCATTCATGATAGGTTATGTGAGGTGCTCAATCTTGATCCACGACAAGTCCTGATTGCGGAAGTGATCTTCACAAATATTGGAGGTGCTGCCACTGCCATTGGGGACCCACCAAATGTTATTATTGTTTCCAACCAGGAGTTGAGAAAAATGGTAAGTACCACCAGTACATTAGGGTCGCTTTCAGTAAATGCACAGCTTAGCTTAGCACTCTACCCAAAGTGCCTGGTTCTTTTAGTAAGTGGAAAGCAAGGCCTGGATGTCACCCACCCACAATGCACATTATTGGTCATGGTGAGTAGGGTGTAAGGTGGTTGACCTCTAGTGTGGTGTGAAGTAGTCCAAACTGTCTTCATTTTCATTCTGATGTGTTTTTAAAGAGACAATGGGATGATGTGATCTATTTAGTCATAGTATATTAACTATATTACTAATAATAGAATTTTCTTTTAGCATTAACAAAATGACCTGTTCCATCTTTCTGGAAATGTGGGATTCCTTTCTCAACTGTGGGAGATAAATTTACTGATGAAGGCCTTAAATTTTTCTTTTTAAAGGCTGGAAAATGAAGGTCTTAGACATCCTTGGAAAGTCTCTGTAAGTTTTAATAGCTATTTCCTTTGTGCATAAAATAAAGACAGATGGTGAAGGAGAGGAAGTGAGGCAGAGTGCAAGCTAAGAGGCTGGTGTCTCTCTCACAGGGTTTAGTCCCCACACGAGGGCTGTAGGCTCATGACTTCATCTAAACCTCATCACCTCCAAAAGGTTCCTTCTCCAAATGGGAGTTATATGCGAACAAGAGAATTGGGGAGGGGTTCACAGTTCAGTCTAGAGCAATTTAAGACTGATTATGGTGAAAATACAACATAAAAATGTGCAAGATTCCTTTGAAACAGGGCCAGAAAACATTCATAAAAAGTCATATGGTTACTATAGTTGCATGTGGGCAATATGAGCTCTGCTGCAGGCACTCAGTTCTACCACTGCAACATGAAAGCAGCTATGGTCAAAGCATATACAAATGGACAGAGTGGTCTCCAGTCACTCGTGGTAGTTCACTGATGTGTACTCTCATACAGAACTTAAGGGACAATTTATGCCCTTTCATAGAAAGGCTGTGTCTCAAATCCACAACCTCAGAAAATGATGTCCCTCCATTGCTTCCCTGCAAACACTCCCTTCCATCCCATTGGATGGGATGACACTGTCAGTTCCTTGGCTCTTGCTCTGCCTCTCTGGCCATTTCTTAGTCTCCTATGTGAGCATTCTCCTTCCACAAAGCTCTTCAGTACCTGTGGCTTCACGGCCTTTGTTTTTCATTCTTTCTCCTCTTAGGCCAACATTGTTGATAATGTCCACCCCCTTTGTGGTTCGTTCATTTCAGGCATGCTGGAGGAAGCATGATGTAGCTCTTAACCTCCCTCAGTTGCACATGTCAGGACCCTCATGTGCTTTGCTGGCCCACACCTGTGTCTCCTATCTCTATTACATGCAGCCATATGTCCTTTCCTTACTTGGTGTCTGAATTTTGGTTTCAAATCACATCAGAAAACATTCAACTTAACAATTCATAAGTATTTGAGTTTTTCACGTAGAAGAATGTAAGAAACCACATTAGTTTGAACCATCCCATTACAATGCAGTGAACTCTTTGGACTTGTCACAGTGCTAGCCTGAAAGTATAGTATTTAGAAAATGGTGCTGGTGGGCCAGGAATTCCTCAGCTTCATCCTAAGTACACATTGAAAGGACAATGTTCTGACTTTCCAGGGGTGTGCGCCCTCTATTGGTTATGTCACATGCTTCAGCATCTGTTCACTGGATCCATCAAACATAGTGGAGGTTGTTAAGAAGAAAATGGCTCATTAGAGCGCCCCACAAAGTACAAAATAAGGTTAAAAGAAAAAAGCAGAAGCAGCACCTTGCAAGATGGAAAGTCTGCATTTAAGCACTGGGTTGGTGCAATTGTGATGGGAGGTGCTTTTGTTACTGTGGACAGTAAGGAGAATGTCTAGGGAGCTACAAAGGGATGTAAAAGTTGTGGGGAGGCCCAGACACATGTGTAAGCTTAGTGTGAACACTGGCCTCCCAGCGCACGTTGCATCTGCCCCTGCTGATTTTTGAAAATGATCAGCTTGGGATTTTCTGTTCTCTCTTTTCCCGCTGGATAAAGCCACCTGTTACAACTCTCATAGCCACTTCCCCCAGTGCTGTATTACTTTGCTATGGATGTCTCCTAGGGCCACCTTAGTTTTTTTTATTATCATTTTTTTTTCATTTACCTAGTCATCATTTTTCTTCAATTGCCTCACTATTTCTAATGGAACAAGACTTTAGGTCTTACATTCCAAAGAGACTCAGAATTATTCAGGATATAGGAACTTCTGCCTTTGCTGGCCATATGCGCTAAAATGACTAACAATTATGTTTCATGACTAAGTTGATTTAAAGGTACATGGATTAATATTATACCTTAAACCATTTTCTTGGGCTCATTTTTTTCTGACTTTAAAGGAAATTAAAACATTTTCATAAATACTTAAAAGTATTATGAAATCTTCCAATTAGAGATCTGGGATATGAACTGTACAGGTAAACGTAAAGTTCAAGGTAATATTTTTACTGAAGAACTACTTGAAAAGTGGTAAATTCTGAGCTAGGTTTGGTGGCACGTGCCTGTAATCCCATTACTTAGGAGGTTGAGGCAACCAGTCTGAACTATATTACATAGTGAGACTCTGTTTCAAACAAAAAGACACAAAAGAAACAAACAAAGCCTGCCCCCCCAGTGGTTAAGTCTTACATGGTCAGTTTAAAGCAGTCCAAGAGTCCTACCTCTGTTTTCCTGGATCTGTGAAACAGTTCATGTGGCTCCATCTGCTGTTTGTAACGCTGTTTTCAAGGACAGCCTTAGGACATGCTGATAATTTAAGAGATTCAGAACTTTAGGTTATCATTCACTGGCGAGCCCTCTCTTTGATATAACTTCTAATTATGTTGTAGCTCTAGCAGTTGTGGCTTCCGATCTTTTATAGAAGTGAGGGAACAAATACGTTTTAATAAACTATCATAGTTTATATTCTCCCGCTAATCCAAGCTGTTGGAAGGTGGTTTGCTAACTCCCATGTTGCCCATGGTTCTGCAGTAACTCACTGACAGCCTGTGGGGCTTGTCAGACCACATCTCATGAGCATACCATAGTGGCCTCTGTGTCCTCACCACCTTATTGTAATGGTCTCCTACATCCTAGGATCCCAATGCCACACTGTTGTGGTGCCTCTGGCCCCCTGTATGGCACTTGTTCTTCATGGATACTACTCAAATCCCACAGTTGACTAGCTTCAAGGCCTTGTCTGTCATACTGGGGCTAAAGGGACATGCACATATATGTACTTATCATTACAAAAGAACTAAAAAGAAACAAAAGTAACCAAGGATACTGGCGTCTTATTCTGTAACAAATTAACTTAGGGGCAGGCAGAAGAAACAGGACGTGGGAGGGCTGCTGCAACCCTTGTGGTTGGGTCTCAGTGCTCTGTGTCGCCTCAGCAGTGCTCAGGGGTGGGAAGGCTAAGCTTTCCAGTCAGGAGGATGTCCCTTCCAATCCACAGCAGGGACGTTAGTCAAATGTTTAGAAAAGCCAATCCACCTTTAAATGGCTGAACATTACCACACCATTTAATGTTTGACCCTTCCAGTCTTTTTTCACCCCATCCTGGGGGAACATATTAGCCCTGTGGTAAAGGCAGGCTGCGTAGTCTGGAGTTAGTTGTGATAGCCTATTTTTGTTTCCTTCAGAGATGGCTGGTTGTTCATGTAAGCACTGGCTTTTTAAAAATGTTTCAAGTTTTATGATGTTATGGGGAAGTGTCAGCGTTCTGCTGTAGGCTTTGTGAACGACTGCAGGATCCTTGACCTGAGGCTCCTAGGGCCCCTGTTGATTCCAGCTCACATCCACCTTAGCCCTCCCTGGCCCACATGCTGCGTGTTGCCCCTTTCCTCCTCCAGGGCCTGGACTTTGCGGGATTCACAGCACACATGTTCATCGGAATTTGCCTCGTTCTCCTGGTCTCCTTTCCACTCCTCAGACTCCTGTACTGGAACAAAAAGCTTTATAACAAGGAACCCAGTGAGATTGTTGGTGGGTATAAGACTCTCCCCATGTCTCCCTCAGCCCTGGGGGAGGGGGTTACTCTTCCATAAGGATCACCAGGGAGGTGCTTGTCCCCGGGATGTTGCATGCTCAGGAGCAGTGACTGTCTATACCTACCTCCCACCTCACCAACAAACCACTTTTGGCTGCTTCAGTCTAAGCCTGCTGAGATGCTAGAAAGAACGGCTTGCTTCTAACCTGCTGTTTTGGCTCTTCGCTTATATAATTCTTAAAAATGTAAAATAGAAGTTAAATGCAAGTTTCATAAACATCTTACTATATTAGGAGGCAACAAAGGACAAATCACCTGTCTCCAGTTCTCTATCAGAAGGTATCTGAATTCAGCCATGAGTGAAAGTGCTGTTCATTCTGTTCAGGCCAGCATTTCACCAAGCCAGCTCCCTCTCTCTCCTGGGTGGGACAGGGTGCCTTTCTTCCTCCTGGCTCCTACCAAATGTTCACCTGTGATGCCTAGCCTGGCTATTTGAGAATTACACTCATGCTGCTGATATTCAGAAGATCTGTTTCTAAATCTACTCAAAGACTGGGCAATTGGCTTAGTCCATTTATGTTGCTATAATAGCACTCTAGCTTGGGCAAGCTATAAAGGTTAGAGGCTAATTTATAACAGCTTACTGTCCAGCAGACTGGAGGTCTAAGAACCTGGCCCCAGCCACTGGTGAGTTGTTCTTGCTGCATAAGATGGCACATGGATTTGGAGGGGATAAGCCATATTCACTTGATGTTAGCTAAAAGCAAGAAGTCATGATCAGCTGTATTCACACCACAGCAGCAATGTCTAGATTTGGCTAAAGCAGGCATGTGAGAAGGGGCTAGGGGTCTTAAATGCTAGCTTTAATGTACTGTTCAAGAAAGAACTTTGTTCTTCATTCAAAGAGTTGAAATCGCCATGCTTAGCTTCCATGATGACTTTTAAAGTTCAACTCTGTCCTCTGACTCCATCATCATAACTCATGCTGAGAGGTGCCTATGTTGGGTGGACCCTGGGCTACCTGCACAGTGTCAGTATGGGGTGATCAGAGGCAGGTTTGCTGACATTTGAGGGTAGGGAGATTCCAACTTTACTTGTATTTCTCTGCAGAATTGAAGCATGAGATTCATGTCTGGCGTTTGACTGCTCAGCGCATCAGCCCAGCCAGCCGTGAGGAGACAGCTGTGCGTGGCCTGCTGTTGGGGAAAGTGCTGGCGCTGGAACACCTGCTGGCCCAAAGGCTGCACACTTTCCACAGGTACTAAGCTCCACAGGTACTAAGCAGGATCCTGCTTGGGTTTATGATTTATGGGTTTACAGACTGTGCTTAATGGTGGCATTGAGTGAGCAGCATACTCCATTGCAACCAAATGTCGTGTAATAGCCACATTGAATTAAAATGACTTTTTAATAAAAACTTTTATGACATTACTAAAGAACAACACAAATTGTGTATGAATGAGTAATTTTTAGGTTGACACTCACTGTGCTAAGCCTCTAATAGGCTAAGAGGTATTTTATCTGACCCTCAGCTTAGTCAGATACATGTTGGAATTGGTACACTTTAAGGTTGAAAATCCTAAGCACTTAGAATTTGAGCGACTGAGTCAGGGTTGTACACTTCATAAAGAGCGACATTGAGGATGGGACTCATACTCTTAGCCACTGGGTTGTCCTACAGACACACCTTTAAATTGCAACTGCTGCAAAACACAGTTAAACAGTGAGCAACATTTCCAGTAGCTGATGTTTCAGGTCCCCAAAGGAAATGGAAATACTAGTCGGTTCATTTCTTGGCATTCATTTTTAACTAAAGCGGAGGCTTTAAGATAACCATAAGTTGGTGAGAGTTTCCTCCTTGCTTTGACAAGGTGCTGGGCTCCATCCAGGAAGCTCTGATATGAAAGCCCCTGGAAGAGAGTGAAGTGTCCTACAACTGAGCTGAGAATTGGTGGCAATGTAAAGGTGTAGAATCAAAAATGGTCCGCCTAAGAACGTATGTTGCCCTTGCAGAGGCCTGGAGTTTGGATATCAGCATTTATGTTGGGTGGGTTAAAAACTCCAGCTTCAGGAGTATTCAAAGCCTCTGACCTCTGCCAGCACTGGCACTCACGTGCACATACCTACACGCAGACACAAACATGCCTCTAATAAAAGCCCACCTACCCCAATCCAGAAGTCCCAGGTCCCAGAGACCTCGCCTTAAAAAAACAAGGTAGATATCTCCTGAACAACAGCACCTGAAGTTGACATCTGACCTCCACATGCATATGCATGTACCTGTACACAGACATACAGGCAACACAGACAGACATATACAGACAGAAAGACAGGTAGACAGACACACAGAAAGGCAAATGGAGAAAATAAGGGGGCCTGGAACAGGGAGGGGGATGACTTGAAGAAGGAAGGAAGTATATACAGAAATTCTTCAAAACTGATTTTCAGTGGATAAAATTACCATCGATGGTAGTTCCTTTATCACTTTTTTTTTTTCAAGTTGGTTTAAAGATACAATGTCCTCATTTTGAAAACAAAGAAATTCAAAAACGTGGAAAGTACAGTTGGGCCTCTCTACCTGCAGATTACACATCTGCACATACAGCAAATTATTGATAAAATATTTGAAAAAACTTATGCCTGTACTGAACATGCATAGCCTTTTTTCTTTTCATTATTCCCTAAGCAATACAAAATGACAGCTATTTACCTAGCATTTAATTGCGCTAAGTATAATAAATAACAACTCTAACTGAAAGCACGTGGGAAGGTGTCTGTATAATATAACCTATACACATTATTTCATGTAAGGCACTTGGGCATCTACGGATTTCCACATTCTTGAAGGTGTCATCTTGGAATCAATCCATGAGGACGTCACTGTTCTTGTGCATTGACATGTACTCTTTATGATATTTTCTACAACTGTTCTCACACACTTCACTGAACTTTACAGTCATTATTTGTGTTGTTTTCTTTGGAAATAAAGAAAAAGAACACCTTTTGTTAGTGATGAACATAGTGCCCCTGTGTCAGACTCACAGTGGCTCACAGGTTCCCATGCTATCAGTGGCACCTTGCTAGGCTCAAGGAGCAGTGAGCTCTGCAACAGCAAAGTAATGAGAGTCCTTTTCTCTTACAGACAGATTTCACAGGATGATAAAAATTGGGAGACCAATATACAGGAGCTACAAAGAAAGGTATTTATTTCATTTTCTCAGAGAATCCTGGTTCAAAGCTTGTAGAAAAGAGTGATTGATTTTTTTTTCCTTAAAAAAGTTATTATTGGGACTGGAAAGATGGTTCAGAGTTCACAAACATCTGCAACTCTAGTTCCAGGGGAATCTGTCTTCCTCTTCTGGCCTTTGTGATCTTTGCAAGACACAGGTGCACTTACATTTATGCAGACAAAACACTCATAGGTGTAAAAGAATTTATTATTGCCAGGTATGGTTCTTTAATCGCAGCACTTTGGAGGCAGAGACAGATGAATCTCTGTAAGATGGAGGCCAACCTGGTCTACACAGTGAGTTCCAGGACAGCTGGGGCTACGGGAGACCATGTCCTAAAAAAAATTATTATTGCTATGTGGTGGTGTGCACATTTAAACCCAGCATTTGGGAGGCAGAGGCAGGTGGATCTGTAGGAGATGGAGGCCAACCTGGTCTACATAGTAATTCCAGGCCAGGTGGGACTGCAGGTAGACTCTGTCATCCCCCCCAAAGATACCAAAATTAACAAATTTATTTATTTATTTGTCTTTTTGAGACAGGGTCTCCCTGTAGCCTCTGCTGTCCTGGAACTCACTATGTAGACCAGGCTGGACTTGAACTGACAGAGATCCACCTGCCTCTGCCTCCCAAGTGCTAGGATTAAAGGCGTGTGCCACCACACCTGGCTTGATTTGTTTATTTTTATTTTATATGTATGAGTGTATTGCCCCAAATTCATTATTATCTGGTTTAGTTAACACATACTAGCTGCAGAAAGCCATGAGGCATAATGTGGGGTCTGGATGCACTCTCACACTGGGTTCTGATCATGATCATCATTAACACAGCTGCCACCTGCATCATTTATCATTTATTTCTAATATCATTCTATTACTTCAAATGCAGTTATAACCGAATAATATTGTTCTTTTTATTGCTATAACTATACATGAGACAAAATTTATTTTTGTGTTAATGAGGAAAAACATCCTCTAAAACAGCTGACTTATTTTTTTAGGAAGTCAAAACCTTATATATATATATATATA